CAGATATCGATGGAACAATGTCGGGCCAAGTTTCGCCATTACACCCTGCTAAATATGGGAAATAGGTTCACATTAAGTGCAATGTTGTACTTCATTGACAGTTTTGTCAATCGTACTTTTTTTTCAACAAATTATTTGACCTACTTAGGAATTTATACAAACTTTTATTACTACATAATATTAAACTAAACTCCATACACATACTATTTTTTTTTTTTTAAATTTTATAAATTTAATAATACATTTAAAAATTTTCATTTATGTATATATTATATACATAATTTTTTGTATATAGCATTAAAAAAAATTTATTTTTGTTTAATATTATTTTTATATTTAATATTAATTTTGTCTGCTTTTGTTGAATGTGTTGTTGTGGATAGAAGCCACAACATTTGCACTATTCACTTGTCATACACAGACACATAATATTTCAGTGTAATTATATTATTAATGACCGCAATTTACGAGCATTAACACAGTAGCATATAATTTAGTTCTTAAATGTTGACACTTTGGGGATTTGTTCAATTTCAATTATAAGCTCAAAAAGCCACAATTGCCACATGACAAACACCTCCAGCAATAGTAAAACCTCAGTAACAACAAGGACTTCTAATACCAACAATATGTCACGTCAAATATATACTCGTATACATAGAATTAGTTCATCGATGTTAGTATATAGAACTAACATATAAAGAGCTAACATCTATATGTGCATTAGTAAATTGATATTAAATATTTTATAACGACAATAACCACCTAGATTAATAAAAATATTAAATAAATTTAATATAGAATATAGTATAATATATAATATAGTATTTAAATATAAATATAAATATATTATTTATTTTTGGTTGTTCTGTTTTTTATGGCTCAAAATACTTTTGAAAAATATATTAAATATTTGCTAATAAACTAAAGAAAATTTTATTAACCAAAATAAATAATTTACTGCTTTTATATTTACTGCATATCAGCTTTTATTTTTTTTTTCTGTATTTATTTTTGTTGTGTCTGAAGTAAGATAAAAATTCAATTAATTCAATATTTCCCTATAAATATTTCGTTAGTAGGCGTATTTTTCTACACACGCTATCTATTTTCTAAATATAAAAACAAATTTGTATTAAGAGCTAATAATAAATAACCTATATAGATAAATATATTGTTATAGCTTTAAATAAGTTCACCTTTGGTAATTTTTATATTAAAATTATTTTGTTAACACTTGAGATTAGTGTTGTGTATATTCGATAATTTTAGTGTTTCTAACCTAACAGGTATTTGTAAAACCCAAAATATATTAAAAATGTAGTTATGAAAAATGTTAAATGTACTTATCAATAAATAGTATTATTTTGAATGGTCGGTCTTTCAATGTGCAACAGAACGTTGTCATAGCGACAGAAGTTTCTTGTCTGTCCAAGTAGCGCCCTCTTTTCTAGCAGACACCCACTTATATATGAGACCCTAAGTCATGTAATCAAATAAACACAATTGATAAAAAAAAAATTTTTTAGTAAATTATGTATTTAAGACATTCGCAAGAATCCTTATCTTGTAAACCTTTATAGCATAATAGCGTAGTCTTCCCAGTCCTGTTTGGATACCATTCAATTGTTGCTTTTCACCTCTTTTTCTCTTTAGATTCTACGCTTTACAATAAAGGAGACGTGTGATGTTTCGGTAATGTTGCCTATGGAGTAATTGTGACACAGTCATTAGTTTTACCACTTTGACTCTAACTCTAAACTCTAGATATTGAGCCCATAATGTTTGATTTTAGTGACAGCAGAGCTTCTTCTTCTGTCCAAGTAGCGTATGAGCGTCGGTTCATTACCACAAAGCCGATTATGAAAATCATAGTCTTCAATAGAACATGCGCGCATATTAGTTTTTTAAAATCTACGTTTCAGTTGTCCTCCAGGTTTATTGATTCGTAGATTTCAATTATGGAATGCCACAATCTAACTATATCTATGCAAGCTGTGCCATAATAGTTTGATTTGTTCCTCTGATTCATTGCTGATTTCTTTTGTTATATTGTGCATATCAACATTATGAAGCGCTAGTTATTTAACACAGTGGAGTTAAATAGATTTGAATGGGTAAAATGAAGCAGAACTGAATCTAGATTCAAAAACTTTTTTATACATACCCTGCTATCTTTTTCAGTTAGTATTTATTCGTTTTGCTGAGAATGTTTTTGATCCTTGTTTGGCTACCTCAATCTCAATTTGTTTTCTTTGTATTCTCTGGAGCAGTGCTAACCCAACTTAATATTATTGAACATAAGCTATTCAACTCAGTGGAGTATTATATTGCTTAAAAATCTTTGGTGGACTATGATGTGAAACAAAGTCTTGGATTCAAATGCCTTCTTTTTAAACATGGTGTGATATTTTCATAGGTCAATTTGTATTCTTTTTGTTGATGATGTCTCTGGCAGGACAAGGTTGCCAGATCATTCTTAATATCAGCTTTTTGCATTCCATGGAATTTTGGAAACCCAAATGAGTAGTAATGAGCACTAATAGAACCTGGACTGCTTGAATAGCTTTGATTGAGTATGATTAAACAGAATTAAGTTCTGGAAACCTTATCTTTCAACATGATATCATAATTTTATACTTTTCACAATAAACTTTTTTTAAACGTTTACTTAAAAAATTTTCTATAAATAAGCTAACCTTCAATAAAATAGAAATTTAAAATTAATTCAATAAAATCAATTGCTTAATGCTGAAATCTGTTGCCACTTAACTTTTAATATCAAAATAGCAATTTCTGATTTTTTGGCAAAAATATAGCACAATTCAACTAAACTTTTTTCCTCCCACAAATATAAAAGAAAAAATAAAAAAAATCGTCTGAAGTATTAAGTATATTAACAAAACATAATAGAAGAACTGAAAAAAGTTTAAACTAGATGCCAACAGAGTTTTAATATAAGAAAGTTTCCTATTAAGAAACAGTCAACAGTGCGTTCCACTCTATTTAACCATAGTTTAACCATGGCGTGTACATGCAAGTACATGAGTATGCATGTATGAGCACACATCTAATGTGTATCATGGTTGTTCATCGACAACGGCATCGTCCTCATCGTCGTCGCTGTCGTCATTGTCGACAACGTCCTTGTTTTGGCACTCTTAACAGTTTTAATCAATTTTTATTATTTTAACAATCTTTTTAGAGAAGTGAAAGGTTTCCTCCTTTCATATTTTTCGCCGTCGGTCGGATTCGAACGTGGTTGTGTTCGCTGATAGCAGCAGGAAGAAGAAAACTGTTGAACTCAACTGTGACTGACTGCACACAAAAATATTTTCTCATGCGTGTTTGGCTTGTTTTTTTTTTTTTGTTCATCTTCGATACTACTTATATATGTGTAGATATGTGTGTCTACATGCTTTCTAGTGTCTGTCCCAGCATCTTACACTCCACTGAAAATTGCACACTAGGGAAATATTATGTCCTTTTACTTCGTCTCAATGCTTGCTGTGTGTCTAACACTGCTTATAGGTTATAGGATATTTTTTTCCTTCCTCCTACCTTTCGATACTTTTCATGCTTTGCTTGGCAAGTGTTACGAATGTGTTTACGTTATGATTTTCAAATCAAAATTCAGCACGAATTCGTATGAATATACTTCCGAATGTCATTAAATTATTTTCCGATATTTATATTTATAGGTGGGTTGCTTGAATAAATGGTTTCTTTATTTATTTATTTTTTTTATTTTTATTTTTTTTATTTCTTTACTTCTTCTCAGTGCTGCCAACATGCTGTGCCGTATTTATTTTATTAGTTCTTTGTTTTTTTTTTTTTTGTTAATATTTTTCTTTTATTTTTCTTAAATATAGTAGACTTTTATTTCCCATATAATGCGGCTTCGGTTACTGCCTTTATTTTTATTTCCGGTATAATTTTGATTGGTGATGTTATTGATTTTATTTGAAGATTTATGAGCAAATTTCCTATCAATTTTTTTTTAATAAATTTTAAAAAAAATTTATTTAAATGATTTCATTTATTTCACTGTTGATGTCAATAAATTTTTTATTTATTTGTTTGACATTTTATAGAACAGTCATTTGAAATAGACAAAACGATGAATAAAATAAATAAAATATAAACAAAAATAATCAAAGAAAATATTAAATCGAGCGGAAACTAAAATAACTAAAAAAAATTTTTTTAATAGATTTAGTTTATTATACAAAAATAAAAAAAAATGCGATAGAAAATAATAACATAGCAAATATAAAATAGATATGATAGAAAAATAAAGAAAAAATGTTAATTTTATAAATGATTTATTTTAATGAAATAAATTGGAAAGTTTATTTTTTGGCCTAACTGAATTGATTGAAAATAAATTTAATAATTATTTTAAATTGAAAAGTATAATGAAAAGAAATAACTAACTTAATATATAGAAAATATTTTTCCCATAGTGCATAAATAATTTATTGAGTTATACGACACATCTTCATTAGGGTATAATGTCTTTCGTCTTTTTTTTTTGGAAATAGCATAATTTCACTTAAATAAGATATTAGATACTTGCTTAAAATTAATTGATGCAAGTAAATTTTGGTGTCCTGCCTTGAAATGAAGCTTTGCAGTCTAAAAAAATATTTATTCGAGTCTATTAAATATCTAATGCTAGGTAACTAACTGAGGCACTGTGTCAGCCTCAGCAAAGAATTCGCAACTTAAAAAATTAATAAGACACTGGAACAAGTATTAATCGAAAGATAGTAACTCTGGAGAATATGGTGGGCATTGTTATATTCTTCATCGAAAATGTAAAAGCTTTTAGGAAATTAAGACTTGTGTATATCAATTACATGTATATAGTTTACAATTTTATGATATATATACTCATCTAGTTTCTTAAGTACATGTATATTGTATAATGTATAATATAAATATTATATATTTATAAAATTATATTTACTAATTAAAAATTTTTTTTTATTTTTCAGAATACTGGTGTACAATCTGATTATCGTATGCAGTCACCAGCTGGTGGTTCTCCATTGCCAATCTGTGGCACAGCTGATGGCACTGTAGCCCTAATCACACATAATGCTAACTCAAATGGTGCCAATGCTGGCGGTCCAAATACTGTACTTCGTGTCATTATCGAAACTATGGTATATCCAGTATCATTGGAAATTCTACATCAAATATTCCAACGTTTTGGTAAAGTGCTTAAAATTGTCACATTTACAAAGAACAGTTCATTCCAGGTAATTTTACAATTTTACAAAGTTCGACTAATAAATTTGTACTTAATTAGTGATTGTATGTATCACAGTCAATACAATAAGTAATGCAATATTGACTTTGAAGGCTATTTGTGTTTACTGCCAACTCTACATTACATTATTAATTTATATATGAAAATTGCATTGTATCTAGAATCGTAGCGTATATTGATATATATCTTAATTAAATACAATTAGAACTTAAGCAAATAAATTAATATGTACTAATGTTATTGTTTATTTATCTGCAGGCTCTCATACAATATCCTGATGCTAATTCAGCACAACATGCCAAAGCCATATTGGATGGCCAAAATATTTATAATGGCTGCTGCACTTTACGCATTGACAATAGCAAATTGACAGCATTGAATGTCAAATATAATAATGAGAAATCGCGTGATTTCACAAATCCATCATTGCCTCCAGGTGAACCAGGTGCTGACATAATGCCAACTGCTGGTGGTTTGGTTAATGCAAATGATTTGTTGCTAATTGCAGCCCGACAGCGACCCTCTTTAACAGGTGATAAAATAGGTAACACTTCCACTTTTCCGTTTTAAGTTCATTTTTTTTTTATTATTTAATTTTTTTTTCGTTTTTGATTTAATTTATTCTTTGTTTTAATTTTATTTTAGATTTTTATCTAATAGTTCAGTTTATAGTTTCATCTGATTTATTATATATTATATTTTTTTTATTTGTCTGCTCACCTCTTTTGTGTTAAACAATATTTGATCACTGATTTTTTGTACCTGATTTGTGTTAAGCCTTCTCTGAACTTGTGATTACTGTCGTATATTTTAATTTTGTTTTTTAATTCTTAATTATTCATTAAGGTTTTTATTCATATATTTAATTCTCTATACTTGAAATCATACCAACTCAATCATAATTAATAATATTTTATTTTAATTTATTTTATTTATTAATGTTACATTATGGACTAATTTCTATATATAATGTATATAAATTATAAATTCGTCTCACAAAAAAAAAAAAATATTGAAAGAAAGAATACCTGAATTTATCAACACTAGTTCTTAAAGTATTTAAACATTTGTTCAAAAGTATTTTGAACAAATATTTTTTAATTTAAAATCGTCTTGGTATTAGGCTATAAAGAAAATTTGTATATTCCCACTTAGTATATATAGGAACACATCCCTTATGTTTTCATTGTCTTCATAACTCTTCAAAAGATATTTTTGTACGACTCTCTTATATCTTCGTAACTTTTTATATTAACTCTTAAAGGTAGTATAAGTAGAAGATCATTTTTGGTGTTGCCTTATAAAGATATATAATATCATAATGATCATCTGTAATATATAGTACTTGTAGTAATGATTTGAAGAGGCAATAAAACTCTGTAAATTAGGTTCTATACTATTTTTTATTGACGCAACAGAGCTTAAAGACCTACTCTAAGCCCAGAAGGGGGCACAATAGGCCCGACGGTCGCAGTGCTACATCCCCTAACAATAATAATAATAATAATAATGATTTGAAAAAGCAGATAATTGTATGCCAAAATATTTTTTTATTGAAGATATAATATCAGTGTCATCCTTTCAGATCACACCTACAGTTTGTTAAGTATCTAAATTTAATAAATTGTAAAACGCACATAAGATACACCCTCTTACAGAAGCAGATGTTCTTATTCCTTTTGTTTAAGTATGATTTTCCCCAAAACTGGGGTGAAAATATGTGAAAATGGAACGTAGGTATATATTCAATTTGTGTTAAAATTATCCGGTAACAAATATTTTACATTCTTATGAAATGTTCAGCACCCTTTTTCTGAACATGTACGTCTCTTTGTAGTTGTGAAATAGAACCAGTTCTTTACAGTAAACTGGGAGAGAAGAAAAAAAAATTATTATTGCTCTTTTTTCATTCATTTTTAAATATTTATCTATTTTATTTCAATGAGTTCAATTTTTAATTCGTAGTGTCAAGAATTATTTATTAAAAGTATCTGCAAGGTTTTTAAAATCATTATGTTTTGATATAGTTTCATTCCGACCATAGTTTCATAAATGACCTATCGTGTATTTCCAAGTAAAATATGACAAGTTTTAACAAATTAACTGTATGGATCTAATACAGGGTTACTGAACCATAATTTTACTACATATATGATAACATTTTTACCGAAATCAATATATTTCAAATATTAAATTCAAAATATTTGAACATTTTTAATCAATCAAAATTAAAAAAATAATATATTATCTTATATATTATAAATGAATTTTTCATTTGAAATTTAAAGAATAAAATTTAAAATATTTTTATATATAATATTTTTATATTTTTATTCAAAAATTAGGGATTAAAATTTAAAATATTTTTATATAGCACTTTTTGAAAAATAACTAAATTAAATATTTATTTTTATTGTATTTAGTTATTTAATAATATTTTTTGTAAATTATTTTATACATTTTAAACCTACTTTATCCATCTTTTGTCCTTTCCCACCTTATTATATGCAACAATTCATTGTTATTCTTAAAAAAGTTAAAAATCAAAAATATTTGACTTACTTTACAGTCAATGGGCTCGGTCAACCTGGAGTTATTCCACCATTTGCGCTTAGTATTGGTACTCCACTCGGTGGTGGTTATAGCAGTGCTCTACCAAGTTTAAGTGCATTCGCTTTGGCTAACAGTGGTGCACTACAAACAGCTACGCCAGCCTTACGTGGACTGTCCAATGTGCTACTCGTATCGAATTTAAATGAAGAGGTAAAGAAAAATATATTATATTAATAAATATATTAAACAAAATAAAAAATTTAATTATTTTATTAATTAGTGAAAACTAGTTTTATTATTAAATAATGATAATTTATGAATATTTAAAAAAATTTTAAATAGTAGTTTAATGAAATTTATTATATTAGTTAGCTTAATAATCGTAAATAGTTCATATCAAACATCATATCATTTAACTAAAATATTATTTTTTTTAATAACATAAATATATTTTTATTTTATATATTTATTTTTTATTATTGAATAATTTTAATTTTAAAATTTGTGCAGTTTTGTTTTGTTTGTTTGTGTTAATGACATTTTCCCGATAAACCTTAATTTAAAGGTAAATTTAATTTAACTTAAGTATTTTAAGTAGGCAAATTTTGGCACCTATTTTCAAAATTACTCATATTTCATAGTTTTTATTTTCACACTAACCCAATTTTATATTTATATATAAAAACTTGACATTTATTTTGCTTTTACGAGTTTTTCCATTCGTTTTATGCATATTTTATACGCTCTTGTTTCAATTTCAATTTCCGTTTCCGTTTCATACTTCATCTCATTAACTCATATTAACTGCAATATATACTCAAGAGTTTTTTAAAATCAAACTTAAGTCTACAAATAAATTTTAAAATAAAAAATATCTTTTTAATATATAGTTAATAAAATATTAATTAAGTAGTTTCTTTTTTTTGCATAAATATTTTCATACACAAACTGACAGCAAACAATATTCTTTTAAATAAAAAAATAAAAAAATATTTTAAGTATCCCAGGACAAAAAATAAAACTTAAAATATTAAATTTATATATAATTATATATTTATTAAATTCTATTTATTTAATTTAAAGTAAATTTAACTAAATAAAAGATTCTACTTAAAGTAAGCCAAATGTTTACTACTACATTTTTGGTACTACATAGACGTATATCTATAAAATACTCCTTCACTCTAAACATTTGTCTTACTTTTCGTATCTAGTTTTCTCCTTTTGAATTACCATTTCACTTATTCAAAAGTATCTTAGTACTTAAGTACTAATAATACTTTTGTAATCGATTATTAGTGAAAATCTCTTTCATGATTTATTATTTAATTTTAATTTTTTTTTTACGAAAACTCTTGCTAACTGAAACTCTATTTTCTCTTTTTTCTGTAGATGGTCACGCCTGATGCTCTATTTACCCTCTTTGGTACGTCTGCACAAATATTTATTAATTTTTAAACATATTTACAAAATGCGACTGCTATATTTTTTTTTTTTGTATTTGTATCATTTTATTTTATTTATTTACTTTTTTTACTATTTTATACTGCCTTTTACGAAACCCCCTGAAGCTTTCAGCATACTTTTTTTTTAATAGCAATATAAACAGTTTTTATTCGTATTTTTTAATTACTTTAATATTTAATATTAAACTTTTGTGTTGATTTTATAAAATATTTTTGTTTCATTAATATTTTCTGGTATTAAAACAGTGCTTGATGTTATTAAAGTGTAGGTTTTTTCTTTTAATTAAAATATTTATGTAACTACAAAGAACATATAACTTTTATATAGAATTTATATATGACCTTTGCATACAAAATACTATATTAAAAAATATTTATAAATGCATAAGAAAAATGGTTAACTGTTAAAGAAATTTATAGAACGAAGCAACCATTTTACAGGATGGTTGGTTGATTGTAGTGTCAGCTCAGCAAACTAGTCTTCCACTGACTTCAATTAACGATTTTTCGCTGTTTCGCCACCAAATTTCTTACACTAACCCTAAAGATGGAAAAAAGTAAATCCATGCCATCAAATTTAGATTACTTAATAGGTGATAAATCCTCTCCTCATCCTCTCCTTTGAACCCTTTGTCCAGCTGTCCAAAAGTACCTATGTACCATTTCTTTTGAAAGTTACATGATAATCCAAAAAAATGTTTGCATTGCTAATATCCATTTACTGATGTTGGAATAGTCTGTATTGTCAAATTTATCCTTGAAGAAAAAGGTTGCAATAACATCTAATCTTTTAACATTTAAGACCATGTATAAATTCATTCTAACAATTTGTATTTTTTTTGTAAATATTTTAAAGTATTTATTATTATTGTTAGGGAATGTGACACTGCGACCGTCGGATCTATTTTGCCTCCTTCTGAATTTAGAGTAGATCTCTAAGCCCTGTTGCGTCAATAAAAAGTAGTATATTCCCCACTTTATAGAGTTTTATTGCCTCTTCCGTAAGTATATACATTCCCAGAAGCCTATTTCGTATGTGAATTAGCGCAGGGCATTCTAACAGCACACGTGTGGCCGACTCCTTATTCTCTTCACAGAATCTACAGTTTGCATTTGTAAGTATACCCAGTCTTGTAAGGTGGTATTTTAGTTTACAATGCCCTGTTAGGATTCTAAGGTTTTCCTTTGATAATTTCATACAATCCTGGTATATCTTTTTGTTATGGGTACCAATAAGTGATTTGGATTGTTTTAATCCAGGTAAATTATCCCAGTAATCCTTTTTACTGTGATTCTCTTTTATTTTTATGAGAGAAAGGAGCGTACTATGTCCTAGACTACAAAATAGTTCCAGCCCCATCATCGGTGTTGCTGCTCCTTTCCTGGCTAGTTTGTCCGCTTATTAGTTTCCGCGTATGCCAGTATATATTTTAAAGTAACTATTTTTTTACTCTCTTTTCTCTACAAAAGCGTTTTATATTACAAAAAGGAACCATGTGAGGTTTTGTTATTTCTATTGTCATTACAAATGAAAACAACAGATAAAGGAAATATCCACTCCATTCGAGTTTTCTTTTCAGGTAACTAAGTTGATTTTTCCTGCATAAAATTTTCAGCAAATAAGTTTTGCCCACTTAGTCTAGTCGAAATATTTTCTAACCCATTCGATTAGAATCATTCACATATACTATAGTAGCCGTGTGTGCTTTACAACGGTTCGTGTTACAAAAGTCTAGTATGTAAATACTTCACATTAGTCAATCAATTTACTCTGCATTGACAGTTTCTTTAACTTCTGACTCTCACACTACAGTAAGTCTAGTCCGAACGTAGTTCTAAACTTTGATTCTCCAACAATTACTTACTTTTGAAAAATAAACAATTGAGTGAAGCGAACTTGAAGTTGTTTATATAAACGCAATTTAAATGTAAAATAAATTTTGCTGTACATTTGAAGATTGCAGGATACGTCAGGATATGGTATGCGGGTTGTTGCTTGCTTATTGCTGCTCGTAAATTGAAACAAACGAGTAAAAATATAACGAGTGAAATAAACATAAAAAAAAATTAAATATAAATAAAAATCAGTATGACCAGAAAGTATACAACTTCCTGGCAAGCTGTTAGCTAGGATAATAACAACAACAACAACAGAAATCTGCACAAACCGTAACGAAGCATAGTTAACTTAGCGCAGGAGCTCATCCACTGTATGCTGTTGTATCCTTACGACGCGTTGTATCCTTGCCAGGTGAAAATATTGAAGCTGAAATTTTCCACTTTATAGGAAAAAGTTTTTATTTCGTCTGTTTCGCTTTTTATGGATGTTCCAGTACTTGTTTTCAGCCAAAGGAATACAAAATAGCGTTAATGCTCTTAATTGTTTGTATACATCGAAACACAATTAAAAATTAGTTTTATTATTTTCATGATCATCGAAATGGTTCAGAAGTTTTGTGAAATAGTAGAAAAAAGTTAGAATTAAAAAAAAAAACAAATTTAATGAACCAAATTGTGTTGTATATGTGAAGAAGAAGAAGAAATTAATTGTATATAAAATTTATTTTAAAAAAATTAAATACTTTATAGATAAAGTTTTTAAGTGATTTATGTAGTTTATGATAATTTGTTTATGAGATTTGTTACGATGCTTTCTAATGCTTAAAGTTATTTTATTGTTTTTATGGTAATTATTAATTTGTTTAAATTATTGACATAATAGAAATACGCTAAAAATTGTATAAAAATTTTAAAATAAGTTTTGATTATTTTGATAATTGCATATTAAAATATATTTTTAATACATACAATTTTATTTTTTCACCAGAAATTTCTAATATTTAACCGTGTAGAAGAGTCTTTACAGACAGACTCATATTTTTTGTATATCAATAACATACTTAATGATCCCGAAAACTTATGTGAAAGATTTTTTCATCTCACATACATTGATTCCTATAATTGAGTTTTGAAATAGGTTACTATAAACTTTGCAGAGTGTATTAGTATGTTTGAATAACTAAATCTTAGTGCATATTGAACACAAACCCCTTCATGTGATTTTTTCGTTACTTGAGCCAAGTAGGAGCCACATCCTACATTTACAATTTCTTGTTTCAGTTTATATACTTTTTCATAAAATCACACCCAGTATGATAAGGATAAGATATATTGTGCTAAACCTAGACAAAGTCAGCTCAGAATAAATTAGACTAGTTGAGGAAACTGATAATGTGTCTCAGTTACACATATTCCCATTTGTTTGAATGAAAACCATACTGAGGTGTTTATCGTACGGCACGAGCAGATAAAACGAATCAATTTGTCATTCAGTATTTTAAAAAATCTATAGCTTTCTACATTGTATTTTAAAGAATCTACAGATTTCAGAAAAATTTAGCTAAGAAAATGTACCTTAAAATATACCTTTAGCAATGACATAATAAAATTTTGAAATATTTTATATATATTTTGCAATTTTAATATATTTTTAAATTATATTAGAAAGAAATACATATTTAAAATTTAATGTATATACTACACTTGAAACTTCAGAAATATTTTAAATATATCTCAAACTAAACATTTTAAATTTATTTTATAAAGAAATATATACATTGAATTATATACACTGAACATAAAAATCTTGGAATATTTGAAATGTGATTCAACCAATAATATATTCTTAAATTATATCGAAAGAAAATATATATGTAAAAGTTTCAGAATATTCTATATATATATATGTCTGTTTTATATAATAAAGGTGAGATGGTGGTTTGCTTTGTGCACCGTCAGACCGATCGTCGTCAGAATATTGTGCCAGACTCCTTAACCGTAATATATAGTATACTGACTAAAACACTCCCTCTTCGGAAAGACTTATTCCGCTTCGGAACCGCTTTTAGATTACTTCGAAGAGAGTCTCATTTATGTCGGCATTACAAACAATGCTCTTGTGATATTCGTTCTGCATCCAGATCTCCAATTTTCATCGCATTTTCTTGCTGTCAGCATTATTTATTAGTTTAGTTTCTGATTCTCCTTTCTAGCTCTAATATATATTATATATATATGTGTTAATTATGAATATATATTGAAACAAAAAAAATAAATATTCTTAGTGTTTATAGTATCTGATAAAGCTTCTTTGCTTCATTTTCATTTAAAGCCATATGGTTGTTACTACTCGAATTTCTTCTACTGAAAATTCATTTCATTTTTCATTGCTTGAAATATTATTGTTTTAATATAGCTTACATTTAATTAATTTTATATATATAAAACGATTTTAAATAAAGCTATTTTCAATTACTAAATAAAAAAATGAACAGAATGTTTGTTTTTGAATAGTTCCAACTGCATTGTGAATATAAAAAATACTACATAACTGAATCGAACAAAAGAATATTTTTCAAAAGGTTAAAATTGACTTGCAATATACTCTCTAGAATGGCATTTCATTTGTGTATATATGGATATTAAAATAGTTTTCGAAAAATATGTGAAATTTTATTTACATTTCATTTTACCTTTTATTTGCTTCAAATTGTAAGACAATGAAAATTAAATACATATAAATTACACAGCCACTGGCAATCAAGTGTACTATACCTTATACTATATATTTGCAATGCAATGCAATGTCTACTATTATTATTATTGCCTTTATTCTTATTTTTTGTTTTTATGTTACTACTATATTTGCCATATAAGTAAATGAAAATTTAAAACTTGTTGACTTTTCTCTATTGTGTAAAATTGACCAATTTTCATTCTTTCAATTTTACAAATAAAATAAAGAATCAAATGAAATATAAAACCAACTTTACATATTTGCAGCTCAGCTCAGCCCAACTCAGATGTATCTACCTCACCTGGCTGCTGTGCTTGCAAACACAGTACGAATTGAAAATTACTCATACGTCATGTGGTGCAGTTTTGTATGCATATTGCATAT